CAAAGAGCGGTTGTCAGGTCCACCAAGAGGAGCCCATAAGCTACGTGAGGGTGTTGGGAAGTCAGCGTGGGGAGGTGATACTGTTATATGTGAATATACATACTCATACACAATGTATGAGTGAATCTTATCCAGGCTAAAAGGATAGAAGGTAAAGGAAGCATGAAGGTGAGGCTACCCACAGGAATAACAGCATGTGTGAAAGCCCAGGGGAGAGAGTGAACTTTCTAAGAACTAAAAGAAGATCACCATGCCTGTGGGTAGTCAAGAGATGAAGCTGGATAGATGAGCAAGGGTTAGTTCATGCAGAGCCTTGACGGATTGTTGAAAAGTTCAGTCATTATCTTAAGCAAAGTTCCATCATTTAAATGTTTTTAGCAGAGGATTTATATAATCAGTGGGGAGAAATCAGGGAAGGGGAGGATCCCATACAACACTGGAGACAGGAAGCCTGTTGAGAAGGCTGTTGAAATTATCCAGGTGGAAGATAATGGGTCCAAAGCTAGAGTAGTGGCAGGGTACATGGACAGAAATGAGAAAGTCAGGAGATATTTGTTGATTGCTTGTATATAGCAGGTGAGGTAGAAAGGCTGTGGTGACCAAGGAGGATGGTGATGTCATGGACAGAAAATCAGGAGGAGGGGCCAGTTTGGTTTTAAACACATGAAGTTGAGGGTGCCTTAGTTTCCTCCAAGTGGAAGTATCAAACAAGTAATTGGGCATATGGTGTGGAAGGCAGGAAAAATCTAGACCTATAAATTTGGGGTTCAACATACAGGCGATAACTGAGCCGGGGAAGTGAATGAGATTAACCAGTGAATATATGTAGAGGAAGAAGGGGTCAAGAATAGAACCCAGAGGAAACCCAAGGATCTACAAATAGGCCAAAATAGGAGATCCAGAATTAGGAGGACATTTACGATAGGAAGGGATACGCTTCTCTGTTTCAAAGTCACGTGCCTTTCTAAAAATCAATTGCCAAATTCACTTCTTTATCAGTATAACCCAAACCTTCTCTGGACCTTATGTGTGATCTCTTGTTTCGCCCATTGCTGACACTGAAGTGGATCTCAAAGCATCTTCAGCTTCCCTGAGGATGTTGGGGTAGAAGGGGTTGGAACAAGAGAAAGTCTTTACATCGCACGTAAAGGAGAGCATTCTTCAGAATCCTCCATTAGAGATGAGACTTCTTGCCTTCTCTCCTCAACTACCAAGTCTCTCTGCCCTTCCCTCATTCCCCTAATCAACATCCTCTTTTTCCTTTCTTCACTGTCGTCCGTCTCCTTAAGAGACATGCATGCCAGCCTAAAGCTCAGTTTTATCCCTAAAGAGTGCTTATAAAAGTTTTCTCACCGATGTTCTTCTTACAAAAGAACCCTAGTTCCAGCTGCTAACAAGTTGTGATTTTCCTCATGTAATCACAGGCATTCATTTTCAGGCTACCATGTGCCAAGCTTCCATCTGGGCACAGACAAGAAATTTGAAAAGTATAAGTTAAAGTCCCAAGTCTAAAGTGGCTTCTATTTTAATTGTGGGCCACGAGATGCCCGTGAGCCAATGAGAGGAAGATTCCAAGGGGCTGTGTAAGTGAGCATGTGGTTGAAGTTTACAAACTCTTGCACGCATACCTGCTATGGAACATAAAGCCGTGACGTGATCTTAAACAAATCTACAACCAGGTGTTCTCCCCGACCCTTCAGCAGTCTTTCTGCCTATTAGGCAGAATAATCCAGAGGGATGCCATGGAGAGTTCATATCTGAAAGGGAAATAGTGTTGTTTGTATTGTCGTCAGAATTCGCATGTGGACTGACTTTCAGAACTATCCACTGTGCTTTTTTGGCAGATTCCGGAGCCTCACCACTGCGTTTTTCAGAGACGCCATGGGTTTCTTATTAATGTTTGACCTCACCAGTCAACAGAGCTTCTTAAATGTCAGAAACTGGATGAGTAAGTGGGACTGAGTAACTTCCGTTGGCCACATTGCTTCTCTGCCTCACAAGATGAAACCAGATTGGGGCCCACAGATTAACTCTAAAAAGTCACAGGTTTAGTGTTTCCTGTGTCACCTTCAAAGCGGTGGCTTTTATGTGGCTCATCCAAAGTGGCTTAAAATTGTGTTTTCCTTTGACGCCTTAGAAGAATCACCACCTATATGTAAGGACTTTATTGCTGCAACTGACAGGCCATTAATTCCACTTACCCAGTAAGTCTTGAAGGACTTCTTAAAACTAAATGAGTGGTCACATCTACTCCATCTAGCCTGGTGGGGACACAGAAAAACAGCAGCGTTTTCTGAGGGGGCAACTGGTACCTACAGTGTGTGCCCTTGCACGTGGGTTAACTAAAGTGTTAATGAACTAATGGGTTAATTAGGTGAGAAATTGTTTCAGAGCAGAGCCAGCCACATGAAAATACGGTAGTGTATCAGTCAACAAGCTCCCGTTGAAATTTTACTTCTTTTTTGAAAAGTGTTCAAATGTGAGGAAGACTGGTATAGAAACATCTCCAGCCTTCATGGCAATTTAAACATAATATAAAGTTTCAAAGTAGCCTAATCAGTTATGAAAGCCAGATGGATATGGCAGCACAGAAGTGTGGTATTTGATTTTTCCTTTATTTTTTAACTGATGTAGCACTAAAGACAATATTTCATTTGCATGTTTTAAATTACAAATACCAGTTTTGATCCTAGTGGGACATACCGGCAGTCGCATGGGGCTGGTGCTACTTGTCATTTCTAGATTTGTTAGGGCTGTCTGTGGCCAGAGTGCTATTTTTTAAAAGACTAGATCATATTATTCCTCTGCTCGAAGTCCTTTTGGGATTTCCCATCTCACTTGGAATTCCTCTTTAATTCACTTTTACTCTGCCCCAGCTCACTGGCCTCCAGCTGAAGGTCTCTCCCCTGAAAAGCACAATCCTGCCTTGGGGACTTTGATTTCTGTTCGCCTCTGCATTGATTTCTCTTTTCCCATTTATAGCGTGTGTTAGTTCTTTCATCTCCTTCAAATTCTTGTTCAAACCTTATTTATCTCTTGGGAGAGACTTTCCCTGACACAGCCCCATCTGAACAGTGCTCTTCATCACTCTGTATGCCCTCAGTACACTTTCTATTTCATTTGGTCACTGCCACCACCTGGCATATATTATATTATATTATATTATATTATATTATATTATATTATATATTTATTATATTATTTCTTTGTTTACTTGTGGTTTTGGTTCTTTCTATAACTAGAAGGTAAGCTCTATAAAGGTGCAGACTTGGTCTGCTTTGTTCCATTGCAATACCCCAGATCACCTGGCTGAGTGTCTGGCTGTGTAGATTCTCAAATATATACATATCTTATTATTACATATTATATATAATTAATAATATATATAAATGCTTCAAATGTAAGTTCACTAACAGTGGGGAAAGATACCAACAAATTCTGACTTAATTGCTTCTCCAAATGAGTGTTTATCCTAGGAGCTGTCTCCATTTTCTTTTGCTGTTACATTTCTTTATCCAAATTTTGGTGTTATTATTAGATTCTGGGGAGATAAGGAGATAATAAGATTATCCAACTCTTTCAGAGACTGATTCGTTCATCATTTTTCAAGGTAGATGAGATGCTCCCTTATTACTAAAATTTCCAGAAAGATACAGTTGGGATTTAAGATAATTAATTGCCATATCTAATAAGGCTTTAATTTCTAACATCCAAATAATTGGTGTTATAGAGTAAGGCTTTGTCTTCTTCCTCTGACCTCAGCAAGGTTGCACATAGCTTGCCTTGAGGTAGACCGTAAAATAGTCCCGTAACCTTGAAAACATAGATTGACAAGTTTTTTTTTATCGTTTCCTTCCTCCCTCCCTCCCTCCCTTCCGTCTTCTTCTCTCCTCCTCCTCCCCCCACCCCCCTTCTCTTTTAAACAGTGTCTCCTGGAGAAAAGAGAAAAACAAGTGACCTGTCTTAACATTGTTTCTACATGAATTTGTGGTGGTTCAAAAATGTTCTGCTCTTATGGATCATCACCTTGAACTTCAGGAAAGGGAATGTAGCAGCCTCCTAAAGGAAAGAGCAAACTTATGTACTTTAAGATCACGTTCTATTATCTCCACTTACATTTGAAGAACAAATGGAATGAAAAACAGTATGTTCATCTCAAAGGGCATTTCCCCAGATATAGAGGAGCACTGATAGGTATTCATACAAGTGCTTCACATACACTCTTATTAATCTTCACAACCTGCAACCTGTGAGGAATTATCTCCATTTTCTAGACGAGGAAACTGTGGCTGGGAAGAGTTAAGCAACTTGGCTAATATAACATAACTCGTAAGCAGCCAAGCTGCAGATGAACAATTAGGTTAGGACTCTGAAGTATGAGCAGTCATTTGACATCACTTGTTTGTAACTAACTTGCTGGTTCCATCTGTTTTCTTTCCAAGGCCAACTGCAAGCAAATGCTTATTGTGAAAATCCAGATATAGTATTAATTGGCAACAAGGCAGACCTGCCAGACCAGAGAGAAGTCAACGAACGGCAAGCCCGGGACCTGGCTGACAAATACAGGTAAGTCAGTCACGTGGAGATGTCCTCTAAACTTGCACACTGCTGCTTAATAATGGGCTAGGGTCACGAGATTGATATTAGAAGGGATACCTTTGATTCAGGAATATCACGTGAATGAAAAAGATCTTCCAGAGGAAAATATGTGATGTTTTTAATGAACTATTTCATAATAATAGCAGCTAACATTTACTGAATGCTTATTATGTGCTAGCAACTGTTCCTAGACTTTAGCTCACCTAACCCCTCATAATCACATATAGGAAATCTAGAGTTATCCCATTTTATATATGAGTAATTGAGACACAGAGAGATTGAGTAACTGATGGAAGGCCACATAGATAGTAAGTAGTAGAGCTAGAATTCAACCCAGGCAGACTGAGATCAGAGTCCATGCTTTCCAACACTGTACTCTACTGCCGCTCAATCAATAACTACAAAACTCTTAAGGAATAATACCTGACCCGGACATAATATTGCAATCATTATCCTAGCTGAGCTTAAATGGCAGCTTTTAAAATTTTTTAAATATTCCATGTAATTGTAAATTGACTCCAAGGCAGAAATTGTCATTCTTTTTCAAATGTAAGCATCTTTGCCAAATCTGTCCAGTTTTTACTGAAGGATTCTCCTTGAGAGCTTTATAAATGTACACGTCTTTCTGAAACTTTGGATTCCAAATAAATATAGACTGTATTCACATAAATATCCTATACAGTGCCTGCTTAAATTCTAAATCAGACCTCTAGATAATTGACTGGAGGGAAATAATAGTTTTAATGGTAATATTGATCACTAGTTTAGGCATTTTTACCCTCTTAATTTTTAAGAATCAGTGATGATGCTTTGGCTTCAAGTCCCTGATTACCTCCTGTATCAGTTTCCTTGCCCATAAAACTTGTTACACCCATACTAAAAAGAAACCCACCAGCTTTCACTCACTGAGGAAAAACAAGGATGTTTTCCAACTCAGCCAGCAAAATCGTGATTATTTCACAATCTCTCAGCCAGCCATGTTTTTGCATGTGTGACTCATTGGCACATCTTGTTGTATCTTTTCTGGTTCCTTCCTCTCAAAAATATTTGTCATCTCTTCCATGCTAGCATACCATATTTTGAAACAAGTGCAGCGACTGGCCAGAATGTGGAAAAGGCTGTGGAAACCCTTCTGGACTTAATAATGAAACGAATGGAACAGTGTGTAGAGAAGACCCAAGTCCCCGACACTGTCAATGGTGGTAGTTCTGGGAAGCTGGATGGGGACAAACCAGCAGAGAAGAAGTGTGCCTGCTAAACTTTACCCTACGAACTGGTCATCCAGAACCCCACGCAAGCATCACTTCCAAAAAGAGTGACAAACCACACAATTGTTGTTGAGTAGATCATGCATAATGGCATGTCTTTCTTTTTCTGCCAGAAAATCTATTTTAAGAAGTCAGGGTAGTCAACAGTGTTCAGAAGAGTTGACCAGTTGTCCCTGAGGCCCCTCCAAACAAGATCAAAGATTTTCCATTGTCATCGTACCATCATGGATGCTCAATTTGTTTTCCTTATAAAGAAGATGAGTATATAAGAGAGTATACAAGAAGAAATATCAGGGAGTTTTCAATCAAAACCAAAGGTACCTTGTCACATTGGGGACAAGAATAAGCTTCTAAAGGGATAACACAGAAAGATGACTTTTTTAAATGGTTGGATTTACTTCTTATGTAGAATCTGACTTGTACTTTTATAGGTTTGCATTGGGGGAAAGATTAGCTAAAAATGCCTATACACAAAAAAGAATTCTGAGTGGTTCATTAAGAGTGACATTACTATGTACATCCTATAAGCTGCTACCTTACGAGAGAGGATGAATGTCAGACTTCTGAGAAAATGTAGGAGACTGTGTAATAATGCCATTTGTATATTCTTAATAAATGGCAGATAGACAAGAATAGGACTGTGAATGACAGAGGACAAGAGAAATGCCCAGGGAGAAAAATGAACGTATGGGAACATGGCATTTGGGCAACTGAAATTAAATGTATCTGTTACAGATGTCTGGGAGAGATACTTAGCGAAATTTCACTCAAGCCAGCTAGAAGCTGACATTATCAGTTGGGATTAAGAAAGTCTCCAGAGGTTTGCATTTCCAACAAAATTTTAGAAATTGGTGTAGCGTTCAGCTTCACATTTCATATTTCTTAGCAATCATGATAAAAAGTCACACAGAGAAATTAAAGATTGCTGTTTATTAACTGTCTCTTTATGCACTCAAGAAAAACTGTTTAGCCTTCATTGTTTTAGATAAAATATGTCGGTGATATAAAATAAACAGCGACTCTTAGTTCCAGGTTTCTTTCTGTTTACAAAGTACTGGAAACTCTAAATCGCGTTACTGTCCTCCGGCCCGCACCCACCCCTGATTTTGAATTGATTCAAAATCAATTGTGAAAATAGAGGGATGTCACTTTGTAGATCAACAACTGCAGAGTAATGATGGGTCGATTTTATGGTCGCTCTGAATTTTCATGTCATCTATCACATAAAAATTGATGATACCTCATGCCGTATTACAGTGTATTTCGCATCTGTTTTTATTTTGCCTAAGGCAAAACACCTATGCTTGAACTACACTGGGGGGTTGGCAGAGATGGAGCTGTGTCTTACCTAAGCAAAAAGTTTGTTAATGGCTTTATTTCTCACATAATGCTGCCTTTGCTTTCTAAAAATGATCACAAAGGTATTTTCCATTAGCCTATTATTATTGCATCTAAACATTGGCTTTTGATTTAGTTTCTGGTAAACGTAAGCCACTCCTATTACTATTATTTATGTATTTCAGTCAGTTTTGTCAATAACAAAGTCATCATACTTTAGGTTTTCTCTTTTTATTGTGAACATATGACTTTTCTACAAGATAGTTCCTCTTTGTAGAAAAATTTGCCAATTAAACTTCACTTTTCTAGACTCTCTGTCTATTTTTTGTTAAGTTACAAACATAGGAAACTCTAAATCCCAGTCCCCCACCTTTAACCTCCATCTGCCAACCTCCACTGGGTGTCAGTCAGTTTTAGGAACACAGATCCAAGGGACTGTCTAGTTACAAGACCCAGAAATGTGCCATGAATCCAGGTAATTTGGAAGCTTTAATGGAGTTAGTCCTTAACAGCTTAACAAATTCTCACTGTCAGCTGCCCAGGTCCTCTGATTTCCGCAGCATGATGCCAACTTCTAAGGTTGGTCATGAGTGGGTATTCGCCCCCAGGATGCTTTTCTCTATGATGCTATTCATGACCTCAGTGCCTGTGCCAGGAGGATAGAAAGCTATTAGCTATCGTCAAAGATGTTTCTTCTGAAACGAATATGAGTAAAAACAATGTAACCATTGGTGTGGCAAAATTTGGTGAGCTTTTTGGTCATTAGATGGATTTCTCCTTTGGATTCAAATTATGACGCCCCCTGCATTTGCACAACAGGGAGCACTTAGCCTTTCTAAAATCCAAAAAGCATTTTATTTTGGATATGCCTTTTTGTTTCTATTTATTTTCCAGTTACATGATTGATTTACTTATCCAAGATTCTGCCACTGTCAGTTATTTAACAAGCCTTTATTCAGGGTCTATTTTAAGATCATGATTTGATAGCCATAGCATGAAGCAGAGGGTGATGATACTTATAATTAAAGAACTATTCCTATAAAAATAACAATTATTGGGTAATCTCAAGAGGAATGAAATTTTAAACAGACAAGAAAATTAATTTAAAATAGTATTCTACTAATCAATAAACACTTAATCTAAAAAAAATGTTTTCTCTGTCAAGTTTGATGGAAGGCCCTGAAGTCTATGTAACCATTACTAGTAACCATTACTCTTTCATTATTTCAGAATTAATTATTCTGTATAATTCATTTTACAATTTCAAATTGACTTGGGGTCACGAAGTGTACAGACTGCTTTTAAAGAATTGCATATACCCTTTAATACACAGCAATATGTGTTACTTATTTTGTCCCAAATGCTTTAGTTAACCATATCATATTTTGGAGAATTATTTAAAAGGTACATGAAGTTCCTTTCTGATATAGAAACCATTTGGAAGTGTTTACACTGGTTTAATGTTTACATTGCTCTAACACAGTGCCTCGGAGACCCCCTTGACCAGATTTGTCTCCAGCCCCATAGCTTATTTCCTATAATACCATGTTGTAGGAAGGCCTCGCAGAGACACTAGTGCAGCTAAAGGTATTCTGAGGTTCTCAGCAAAGGGTATAAGAATCTTATTCAAATCTGGAGATTATTACCATCTCCTGGTCACTTTTTGGGGAGTGGGCATTATTTGAGACTCTGTGATTAGGTACAAGGTTACCTTTTAATGTAAAAAAAAAAAAAAAAAGAAGTCCTTTGAAAAATGTATCAAATATAGTTGAGAGAACATGTTCGTCTTGGTGTGATGAGGGTAACAAGTCACAAATTGGCAGAAAAAAAAATGCTACATGATGGGAATTGAGCTTGTGGGTCTCTACGTAAGAACTTCAAAACTCTGGCCAGTCCCACTCCAGCCAAGTTGCTATCATTTCCATATTATCAGCTGGCACGCTGCAAAAAATTTGAAACCAGCGTTTTCTAAAATAAATATTTTACCTGTTGTTTTTAACCAGATGGGACATTCTATGTATCAGTAGGTGTCTCTCTTATGCTTCTAGTGTGTTATTCTCTGCCAATCTGTACAGATAGGAGGAACGGGCAAGAGTTTTTATCAGGCGTTTCTCGTCTTCTTTATAAGAGAGAGAAACTTGACCATAGAGGATGACTCACTACATTAAAAGATAGTTTAATAACAGCTGAAATGTTCTTTAAAGTGTAAATTTTGTCCACTGGGAATCAACAAATTTGATGAAGCTCATATACATTCTCACCAATGGAGTGGGTGCATCGGTTAGAAGGAGAAGCAGTATGTGTAAAGAGGTACAGTGTATAACTAGGTGTAGTATATAACCTGGAACTAAAAATTTGAGGGAGAATCCTCATCCATAAGGAATTTTTGAGATTGAAATTCTAATTGTAAAGAGATAATATTGAAGTTTCTGGTGTCCTAAGATACTTAATAACTCTTTAAAAGGAAGATCTGGGAGCTACATTAGCCAAAGTGATAGAAAAGTTGTCTTTCACCTTCTACTCCCAAGCTTGAAAGCATTAAAAGAAGTCTAGTGTATTTGAATATTTTAGGGAAAGCTTTATCAGTTTTAAAGATTCCAAGATACTGGCTATATTTGAAAAGCTTGTCTAAGAATTCACCAAAAGCTGTATTTTCTTCTTGATCTTTGACCAAAGTGGTATAAGTTTATTTCTGGGGAGAGTGCTGAGCTCTTAAATGTGGAAAGTAGATGGAGAGTATTCTCTGAGATGAGTGTTGTCTGAATGCTTTATAAATCTATGGAGATACTCGTCTCATAAAGTAGAACTGATAAAAATGAAACATTGTTAGCTGAATAGGGAATTTTATAAACTTATTGCCTTGGAGTTCTTGGGTAGAGACTCAACCACGTTGACATTGTTGAGCAAGAAGTATAGAGATTAGAGATTAAAGTTGTCTAAATAGAGTTTCTAACTATGGCAGAACATGGAGAAGACCATACTTACAAGGTTGATTTTTAGGCAGGAAAAAAAAAAAAGACTGACAGAAAGTTGTTTGTAACCAGATCTATGGCAAATATTTAGCCATTATTTTTATCCACCAACTAGAGGTTTATGCCCTTAGAACTGAGCTAATAAAAATATTTAAGCACTAAATATTTCATGATTGGCATCAAAATTTGGGAAAATTAGAAACATTTACTCTATCTGAATCAAATTTTCTCATAAATTGCACTTTAATTTTTTAAGAAGTAACATCACAAAGATGCCTTTCTGCAGAGCTCTTTTTACCAACAGCCTATGACTGAGATATTTTCTAAATTCATATTTAGAGAGAATAACAAGCAAACAAACAAAACCATGAGTACCAGAATAATGGGGTTATTTAAAAAGGTGTTATCTTTTGAAGAAAAAGAGTACAAAGAAATTGTCTTTGAATTGGGTTATTTAAATCTGTTTCCGAGTTCATTTTCTTTCCAACTGGTCGTGGAAGTCATGGCTATTGTCCCTCAGTCGACTTAGTCATTACCAAGTTCTGTAGGAGCCGCATGTCTGTTCTTAACCTAATGGATCCCTTATTTAGCCAATGGCTGTTGTCCTTATGTCTGTTGGCACATCAAAATAGTGTCTGTCCCTAGCAAAGTAATAACATATGCTTATCCTTACTCTTCTCCAGGTTATTTTTTCAAATGTTCTTTGAGAGGAAGCCTAGTATTATAGAAAGGAAAGTGGCCAAAACGAACAATTTGGGGGCCATGGGTATGTCATTAAATACG